GGGAACTGAACTGAATTAAAATTAATTAGCCAAAAAAGGAAGTATTTACAATTATCTTCATACCTATCCATCTCTCCCAATAATCTTGCTGAACCTTATTGAGTTTTTGGCAAATATGGTTAAAATATAGAGCACATTCTATCAGCGTTCTAATCGAATATCAATTAAGCAAGAACATAATATATATAGTATATACATGCGATACAATGTTAAAGTCAAAACCACTGTACATTTCCGACTTGCATAAAAAAATAGTCTCATATATTTTAGGTCAACACAAGTCTATTATATTTGCATAACTTGCAAAGTCTGTACTTTAAACTTTCAAACTCTGCCAATAAATAACACTGCACTTTGGACATCCCCATTTACAATCTGCAATGACGCAAGCTTGTTCATCTGCAGGGATAATCCTGAGTGGAGCCATGGGGCCATTGACCCCCTCAAAACTGAAATTGACCCCTCCATGTCCCAATTTTCTTTAAATTTTACATAGAATGGCTCCTCTTTATTTTGATATTGACTAAAAATGGCTGAAAATGGCCCACTGCTCCAAATTTCAGGATTTTCTCTGTATCTGTACACATGCAAAATGATACCAACCAAAGATGACAATAATCACATCCAATGCTTTAATCCCGATATTTCTGTATGCTGTGTTCTTTCCGTGTTAACATTCTTACATATATACAGGGCAGAAATATGTTGTTACAGGGTCATGATCAATGTCCATTTCCTCTGAATTTCAGTCACAACTCTTCCAACAGTTGTCTGTTTGTAAACAAAAACACATGTGGGGTATTAATATCGTCATTCACTTTTGATGTCGTCACAATTGCCAGTGACACATTTTAATGACGTCACAATCGAACACGTGCTAATCGACACGAGGCTTGCTCTCCTTAAGGGGTGACAAGCTGATCTTTCCCGGCTAAAACGGGAGATACACCTGTGAAGGGTGGGAGAAATACTTTTCTCCAACCGTTTACAAGTGTGTCTCCCTTTCAAGCCGGACAAGATCAGCTTGCCACATCCTAGGGGGAGACAGCCTCGTGCAGAATGGCGCGATCTCAGTCTAAACAATAGTATGACGTCGAATCATCAATGCATTGACGTCACATCAACAGTAGCCGACCACGGAAGAAAACTCTGGATTTGCTGGCAAAACATGCAATCAACGCTTATAATTCATGCAATCACCCCTGGTATACTAGATGGGAGAACAGCATCATCCCCTACCTTGAGGGTGTGACAGAGAAAATTCTAACCCCCGGATGATTTTTTTCGAATGTCATCGGCAAAGCCTCGGGTAAGACAATCAAGAATCTCATCCCTCGGGTTGGAGATTTCTCTCTCACACACTAAAGGAATAGGAAGATTCTATTAGTCCCGGAATTTTCTGAAAGATACCACTTTACGTTCTCAAGAAGGTTCGGAGAGCTTCAAAAGTATTGCAAGATGGTCACCCTATCGATTATCCTTGGTATCAAAGAGGTTAGAGTAAAAAATGGAAGGTGTGGACTCTAAAAATAGAATTAATCTCACTGGTGATGAATACATTAAGTTTATGAGAGACCATGCCCATCCAAACTCACTTTCGAGCATCAGCATCAGCAGTTACGTCAAGTTTAGATCAGTACTACTTGCCGGTCAAGATAAGATTACCAATATTCAAAATAGGTTGCTTTCCGTTTCGGAAGGAGGGTGGTAAATGACGCGGTGTATGACGGTTTTATCACAGTTTTACCATAAACTACACATGCTAAACATATGTATAGCTCTTATAAGAAGTTCATAGTACATTATTTTATTGAGAAATTAAGGGCACATATTTATTTAAATTGAAAATACACAAAAATAATTATTCCTTTGAAAGGATGTCAGTGAGTTTATATGATGAATATAATGCTTCCTTACAAATTGAAATAAGAACTAAAATGACAATTACGAACAATATGACTAGGAACTGGTTCTTATTCGGTAAAACGATGAAGCGCTGTCATCCTAACTTATTTAATCGATTTAAAGGTTGGTAAAATTAAATATTAATATGCAAAACAGAATTGAGAGAAAAACATTTGAATCGATTAATTTCATTATACGTAGTGTGTCTGTAGGGGTAAGGGAAGTAACTCGTGTGTTTTTCCGCATTGTCGTTTGGTATTAAGGTGGCCCCACCCTTTCGCAATTAACCAGAAAAAATCGTTGAAACTTTCATATAATGGTTATGCAACTATGTAGAGTTGATTTTATGAAAATCTAATCATTCCGATAGTTTGGGGGTTTTTTTGGAAAAAATCCAAAAAAATGAATTTTCGTCAATTTTAATACTTTCCGGTTTTTTTTGTGTGTATCATTGTTCGGAACAATAACAACAAAAATAAAATGAAAAGAAGCATTTCTTATTAACCCTACGAATATTTTATTTGTCGCAAAATATGTAACACATGTTACACAAAGTGTTTTTTATTGAATTTGTACGGATAAAAGTGATTATCTACAAGCTAAAAGCAAACAGGACACAAAGATCTATACATATAGAATGGGAAATCGAACAAAATATACACAATGGCTCTATAATTATTTTATTTTACATTTTACAATCACTTTGATCCGGGTGAGAGTTATCTTTTTCGAAAAAAATCGGAACTTTTTGCAGAGGGATGACATTTACACAATGCCAGTTGTCTCTGTTTACATATAACAAAAATGATCGAAATAAATCAAAAATATGATATCAAAAAATTATCAATTTATTGTTCTTTAATGGAAACAAATTACCCTCAGTCATGTACACTTTCGACATCATTCCAGAGTCCGCTAACTCACGGTATATTTATAATTACATTTCAGGTACATATGTGACCAGAGGCTATCGCATGGTATGCCGTTCTCACGTGCACTCACACATGTATTTCATAGGTATCTTTATATTTTACAAAACATTATTTTAACAGAGTAAGCAGACTACATTCGTAAACACGATTTACAGCGAAAATCGTAACGACATCGAGCTTATGAACTCGTGTAAGCGCGTGATATGCACATGCGAGGTCGGTACGTCCGCATTCCATGTGTTTCCTATATGACCTTCTTGAGGTCGTCTGGTCTCATGACACTGTGTTCCCGTGAGTCTGTTTATGTCTATGAATTGGAAAGCTTTATTCCTGAAGGACGTGTGATTATCGGGTGTTAACATATCGGCACGCATGTGTACTATTGTTTACAAGGGGCCTGTTCGTTTATGCGGAACAATCGGTTTGACCGTTTATAAATGTAACAATTTAGGGTATAAATCCTGGCGGACCTGCAAATGTGTATGCAGGCCTTGCAAGTCTTTCTCAAGACTCGCCTGAAAGCAGCATCAGATTACTAGGTCCGACCTTATTTAATAAACGAACAACAGTGGTCCGATCGATTTGACCGTTTAAACGAAAACGGCCCAGGTGTTACTATAATTTGCACTACGATATTGAATGCCCGATACGCAATACGGAAATGACGACACGGTGTACATGCACATTTCGATCAAGATAATTGAGTCCGAGCTGGACTTTTTCCGGAAGTACGTCACGAAAATGGACGCTGATGACGATGTTTGGAGCCACCTTAAGGTCCTCGCGGCATCTAAAAACACCACCAAAAAGATGGGGTGTATATGAAACGGATATCATTCTTGAAATGTAAGCTACTAGCACCCTTGTATGAGGGATTCGTGCTGTATCTATTATATATTTACAAACAAACTTCAATTAAAAATTGTATATTAACATTAACTTTAATTCGGTTTTTTAAAAACGCCTCAAACTGTAACAATTTGAATTATTTTAGGACAATTAAATTATTCTTATAGAACTCTGTTTTATTATTTTAACTTGATGCCACGGAACTAGCTATCCAAGTCCGTGTTGATACTAAACAAATTTTGTTAAAGGATCAAGTAATTCTTTTTCAGTTATTTACTATCTATTTACTTTGGCTTCAGGCGATTGTAAGGCATCTTCCATTTATGATCACTGGCCCTCCACCACTGGGTCGCGGGTTCGAGTCCCACATGGATCAATCGCCACGCACTGGTCGTTTGTTTATCGTTCACCGACCTCCCTCTGTCACTAAAACCGGACGCGTCCTAAATTACCAAAGCTTTTAACATGTCATTTAAAGGTTATTTATACCAGCACCTTATTGATAGAACACATGTCTTATTACAAGTTTTAGATTGTCGTCTCATAACTTAAATATTGTAGTGGGTAGACGGAACAACGTTGTTCGACAGAATAGATCATGTACTCGATGTGCTTCTGGTGATATAGAAGATGAATTTCACTTCATCCTAAATATCCATTATATCAAGACCTGAGACGTAAATATATCAAGCGATTTTATCACAGAAGTCCTGTTTTTAAGTTAACGAAATTATTACGTACTAATAATGTAAATGAATTATGTATTCTCGGAAAGTGTTTATATTGTGCTACGAGAAAATTAGAGAAATCAATGTCTGATATGGAAATGTACTTTGTAAGCTAACCCTCCACATAATTAGTTTAAATTTGTATGATAATCTCTTGTACGTGTATTACATGGTGTTATTGTTTGACATTTAACACGAGTCGAACGGCTCTCGGGAATTAACTGAACTGAGGACGAAATTCACGAACAAACTATGGCGTTCTCGCAATCATTATTGTGATATTATGATAATGTTTCAGTTATATACAACGAAACATGATGCACGTCATTTGTAACCATCGCCTTTAAATGTTAATATTGCCGAATATATCTTCGTTTGATCATGTCGAAAAGTTGTCATGTTCAAAATTGCTTCGAAGAAGAAGTGTTCTTTTTCGACATTATTTTGATAAATTTTAACACATTATCCAACGTGTTTAGCAATCAATATTTCATTCTTTTAAGAATTTCTGTTGTGGGTAAATAGATACATTTTCTTGCCTGCAACACATAACTGGATAAATCACGCGGTGATATTTAAACGAGACGTCTCGATCGTACCGGTGTGTATGTGGGTGCGTGTGACGTCAGTATGTCAGTTCCCTCGGGGACTATAGATCAGACGACTACCGGATATTAATGGACCGGACGCAGGTTGTAGCCCCGGGAGTCGGGACTGATTACGTCATGGCTTACCAGACAAGGAATGTGTCAGATTCCTGACATGAGTGACATATTAGCGCACACACATACATAGATAAATGCTGTATGGTTTTAATTCAGTTCTTTAAACCGGAATACTTCATCTGAAACATTTGGCAGATACGTACATAGAGCAAAAAAATACTATATATACCCGTTCTCATTTCACTCAGCTGGAACGCGGCAATCTGGAATACAAATGCGTATATTCGAGGTGTCCCTGACACTTTTTGAAAAATTTGGGTAGCCCTGAAAAGGGCTTTTGGGGGTAGGGGTCTGATAAGACCCAAAACACTGGAAAAGTGTTTACTTCTTGGCGGGTTTCTTGGCTGCTGCCTTCTTAGCTGCAGGTTTCTTGACTACGGGTTTTTGGGCTCCAGCCTTCTTCGGTGTTTTGACCTTCGGCTTGGCGACTTTCTTAGCTGCCGGTTTCTTCGCTGCTTTCTCTTTCTTTGGGGACTTTGTCTTCTTGGCGACAGCGACCTTCTTTGGTTTGGTTGCTGCGGCCTTCTTTGGTTTCGTAACTTTCTTAGCCGCTGCCTTGGGTTTCTTGACTGCCTTGGGTTTGTCTCCGAGTTTGAATGAGCCAGTAGCTCCAACACCTTTCACTTGCTTCAGTGTTCCCTTAGCAACTCCGCCCTTCAGAGCAGTTTTGACTTTTGAGCTGACTTTTTTCTTATCATCACCGACCTTGTAGTTGGCCATGATGTAACCCATGATCCCGATTTTGGACGATCCTTTCTTGTCCTTGAGAGCTCCAACAGCTGCGGTTACCATAGTAGCAAACGGAGGGTGTGCTGCTGGAACCTTAGGCTTGCTTGCCTTCTTGACTTCCTTTACTGGGGATGCTGCTGCGGCGCTCATGTTGACGATTTAGATATCCTTCCTGTACCGAGGTATAAGCGAGAATGGCTATTATTTTTCAAAACCGCCTATTTACGCATTTTGCTCGTACGTCGTCGACGACACCGCCACAGAACGCTCGACTTTAACCGACTATATAAGCGTTGATATGAATTATGTGTTTTCTTACCTTACTTCAATCGTATACAGCTCATTCGTTACAAACCCTACAATATTTTAGTTACAGCGATATTAAAGCATTTTATTTAAAGATTTTATTTATGTAAAGCAAAAATGTTAAAATTTGGGGAGAATAGTGTATTCGAATCATTTTCTGCCGATATTTTGATTTAATGATGGTGAATTTCATTTACAGATGTAAAACTTACATATAAATACATTTACAGCTATTATTTTTGTTACATTAAAGTAAAGAATTAATATTTTTCTTTCCTATGATGTATCAAACATATATACTTATATTCTTAAATATCGATAAAAATGAGATTCAATCGAGACACAGAAGCACAGGTTTGGAACAGGCGCCATATTGTAAGCTAAACACAGACACGTTTAAAAATGCTTTCTAAGGCTCCTTTTTAATAAAAGTACAATTAAAGATATATTTCAAATGCTTGAAACGGTTATTTTCCCGATTTTAATCATATGAAATGCAAAAATTGTACTGTAAAATGCTTTGTTTTTAGAAATTTCAACGGTCTATATCATATGCTAAGTGGCTGACATACCAGACGAAGAATTCGAATGACGGCCTAATATTTTTTTCCCTTTGGTATCAATAAATATCAATACTTTTGTGTCATATATGTACATAATATTAAGCATTACTCCACAATTATTCATGTACATATATATATTCATCAAATTCTAATATTAGGAAAGATTCGCCCATCGAGGTACAAATTATATTACAGCCAAGATATTTATAAACCGGGACATATCCCTCGGTCACGTTTTTGTTTTTTGTGGATTTCTGATCCGTCCCTAACTTTTCAAAATAATTAATGCAAATAAAATAGTGTAGAACTTCATCAATACATTTTCATTATTAGATATTTTAATAAATTAACACAATTTTCGTGTAAATTAACCTTATTTATGTCTTACTAATAGATCTGAGTAAACTGTTCTGTTCGTAAAACTAGTAAAGCGACCATTTCAAAACTACAAGTTACTTTCAATCATTTCTTTTGATATTAGCATATGAATGATTTGTACAAAAACATATTGTTATCTTACTTTATATACTAATTGTTTGAAGGACAAATGATAGTATAAATAATCACAGCGGACTTCTCTTGGAATACTTTGTAAGAACGCGATATTTATTTGGTCAATAAGAATGAGATTTCAGACTCTGTATAACTTGTGAGAACACAAGAACAAATTTTGTCCATGAGAGGGAAATAGCTGTATAATTTATGAAAACACGACAAATATATGGGTCTAGATCCCAAATAAAAGAAATCTGGAAAAAATGAGAATACAAAATGTATTTACCTCCATAAAAATGACATATCAGTATAATTGTGAGAAAATGAGACTAGTTAAGGTTCATATGAAAATTAAATCATTAACTCCAGTAGTGCTCTCTAGTTCCCGGATTTCACGAATGTTTAATTTTTCCTAACCCAAGCAAAGCTTTCCCTATAATTATAGAAAACGTTTCTTGGGGAAACTATCACACAGAAATTTTGTGATAAATAAGTGCTGAAATTAATCGTGTAAATAATTACTTATACATGAAAAACTTTAATCTTACCATCTATTATTAAATTTATATTTCGAATTGTTCATATCTAACAACTCAAGTGCGACTTAATACAAAACACGTTTATATGACATTTAGACAGAATTTGGCTATATACATGTGGCATTATCCTTAATTGTAATTACTATATATCCTTTGTGACATTTGAGATAAGACTCATGCGTGAAGTTTTTATATCCCTAAGTACGTATTCTCTGTAAACTTACTTTCATAACTCATTACTATTGTCCATCACATGACGCAACAGGATTAGTGTAATAGCCTTTACCTTGAGGACACTGACCACGGGTAATTGATCTAACAATTAGCGACACCTGTCACTTAAACCTCAGGTACCTTTATTGTACGTACATGTGTTTACTGTGATATGTTGTATTGTAAATGAGTGAGTTTCTAGACTCTGTACGGAACACATCGGGTATATTTTGGAAACTCCAAAATATCCCGCCGTCATGTCAAAAGTTATCTCTTATTAAATTTCAAAGTTAAACTTTTATCAACTCTTACGTCATCATTTCAACAAGACAAAACGTGAAGAAAAACCTTATGTTAAAACACTCAGAATAAATAAATAAACTAAGTTGATGATGAATGAACTTCGTTCACCTGATGGATATTTAATATTAATGCAGTTTTATATTTTTAATTTTAAATTACGTTTATATAGTAAATGAGCACTCAAATGTCTCGCAAAATACATATGAAAACAAACTATATTAAGGGACATAACGCATGTTAGTTTAAACTTTATTTAATTATCGGTATAATAATTATATGATTCGAAAATAAGTACAGAGTACTTGTGTTAATCTGTCTCCTGTTTGTGTAAAACGGCGATTGGACGGCACTGACTATTATAATGCATATAGATACAGGTATATGGAAGAGAAGAGGATGGGGGAGGAAAAAGGGAAAGAGGTGCAAAAGGGTTTAAAGAAAGTATTGATGGGATAAAATATATAGATGAGTACATTACATTTACTGCATTATGGGAGGAAAAACTGATTGGAGTATATTTTGGATATTGACACATGTCGAGGACTATTAAATGTCACTGAGATAGTCAACCCACAATATATACATTAATTCAGGAATTAGGCATGGGTTTATCAATAACTGTCGAACATCAATAAAATCAGAACACCCCTATTAAACGCCCAAACCTAGAGGCAAAATCACATGCCCACCCCTCCCCAAGCTCTAGTGCACCCTCCCCAACACAGAGTATTAGTTCAGAAACGACAGAGAATATGTCCATAAAGTCCCCTGAAACCCCATGTCCCACTACCATCAACACCCTGCCCGAAATCCCCCTAAACAGAGCTGAATCCCCAGAAACACCATGTCCCACATCCATCAACACCCCGCCCGAAATCCCCCTAAACAGTGCTGAATCCCCAGAACCCCCCGTAACAGTGCTGAAAAAAACAAATAAGAGAAAAAAAACAATCTAAAAAATCGAAGTAAACCCCTAAACTAGAAAGGTACAACACAAGATCTTCTAAAAATCTCGCAAAGAAACTAAACGTATAAAGGTAACCTTCAACAAAAACTCACACACAAACACTAACTAGCCAATATGGCAGTACAGACAGATAAAAAGATCGCGAGCGTTCCCTGTCTGTACTCAGCTGGAACGCTCGCGCGGCCTCAGAGCTAACTTAATTAGCCTAACACAATTTCTAACACAGCATAAATACCTAGACATAATTAAAGTACAAGAAACAAAAATGAGACCCAAATTAAAAGTTTCCAAAATCATAGGTTATTACGAACCACTTAAACTAGGCAGTCGAACCACAGGGTTAGCGTTATACATTAAAAATGATATAGCATATAAATCTGTACCAGTTAATGATATCTCCCCAAAAATAGAAATGATCGGTGCAGAGATAGACAATAACAATAAAATGATAGCAATTTTCAATATATATATAAGTCCCAGCATAACATTAGAGAAAGAAGATCTAGATACAATTTTGAACATAACATCAAAATACCAACACTGTATCTTATCTGGAGACTTTAATGCTGCAAATATAATGTGGGGGAGTAGAGAAAATAACCCCAGAGGGAATTTACTAGGAGATTGGCTCCTAGGAAATAATTTAACCGTACTAAATGAACCCGATCAAGGATCCAGGATTGACTAAAAACTGGTGGCATATCTCACTTAGACCTGGAGATCCTTTTTGTCATCAACCAGGTTCTGTAAATATTTCTACTGGGAGATATCTTCAAAAAGAGCTGCATTAAACCAATAGGTCAACGTGTACATTTCATTTTTCATTGTCTAAAATTTCATCAGCTTTTGATTTCCGTTTGTTGAGAATATGAACGAAAAAAATTACATTTTTGAAAGTCTGGTTAAACAGACTTTACATAATTAATTATGCATCACCACTCGTAAAGGAAACAATGGTTAATGCATTTATGACGATATTAACAATAATTTTCCAGACAACCAACCCGAGTTCAACGCCCCTTTTCAGCAACGTATTACTTTTTCACAACGCGTGGCGATTTATAACTAGTTACAGACAGAAACTGTTAAATTCTATTTGGCATCATTACCTGTCAAACTTTGGTGACAGTTACAAAATTGGATATTAAATACGGTGTTTCAGGATCGAACAGTGATTGAGACTACATATCGATATAACGACGATCTCAGTTACATTTAAGTATTTCAATGTGGGTTTTTTAATTTTAGTTTTTAACTAACATCTCTATACATTTACTTAGACTAATTGTCAAATATGTAATATGCACTTTTTCTATAGCAATTACCAAACAGCTTTTTCCCAAACTTATCACAGAAGCACGCAGAGGATTTAATTCTTAATGTGGGAGGAAGCTGGAGTATCCGGAGAAAACCCGCGTGGTCGGGCAGGTGACCGGGGCCCGTATTCATGAAACCGTTCTCATGCTCAAGCATGAATTTTGTGCTCAAGCCTAATTTCTTGTTTCGTTAATAAATTCATAATAAAATCTTATTTTGTCAAAGATAAGGTGAAAAAATTGAAGAGACTTAATGCCAAATACTGTTTTCAATGTTTACATTTAACTTTTTGATCGTTTGACATGGTTTAAGTGAGTTACAAGAAAGTTGGTTGGAGCATAAAATCCATGCTTGAGCATGAGAACAGTTTCATGAATACGAGCCCGGGATTGAATCAGGCCCACCCCATATCTAGTTAAATATCAACTAATATCCATTAAAAACATTTAACATCGTCACATTTC